TCCAAACGCACTTGGAACCTTCTTTCTCTTCGTTAACACTCAAAGACTGTTATTTAGTTTTTTCATGCAATGAGCTCTGGGAAACTTAAGTATTTTGAAAAATAAATCAATTTTTCAAATAAGTCTAAAGTAAAAAAAAAATCAAATCGTTTTAAAAATTGATACTTCTTGTGATGCTATTATAGGCATCGCATGTTTCCTAGCTTTTGAAATTTTATAAGTTTAATTTTTTAATCTTTCTTAATCTAACTTTAATTGAATTAAACTGATTATCTAAATTCTATCATATTTCATTAAAAGCGAATATAAATATTTTATTCTCTTCTTAACAATCAATGCAACGGATAACTTTTTAATTCCGATGCAAACTATATAATTCATTAATTCACTGTCACTACTAAATTGAATATCGAAATCTATTTTTAACTCTTTATTCCTTAATCTACTTTATTTTTCTAAACGCAAAAATGTTTCAAATACTGTGTTATATCGATTCTCACGGTTTTTTTGGTGACTAAGTCATAGCCAAATTATTTAAATTGGGGAAATATTTGTTTTTAAACTGTTCCAAGGTACAACGCCTTCCCCTACAAAACACTCATGGGATGCATTTTAGGCGAAAAGAGTGACGATCAGGTGGTGATTGACAGACAATTTTTTATCGTCACTTAATTCATTTAGTTGATTATTACACCGCTAATTTTGCCCTATACTACGATAAAAATGTGCCTAAATAGTAATACTCAACTTTAAAGGCCATTAATGGGTAGTAGAAAGTAATACTATAAAGCATTTTGTTATATCATATAGCAAAAAAAAAAAAAAAAAAAAAAAAAAAAAAAAAAAAAAAAAAAAAAAAAANAAAAAAACGAAACGGTGAAACAGTAACTTGAATGACCATTAATGCAGCATGAGAATTAAATCTATGAAAGATTTTGTAATATTATATTGCACTAAAGGAGTGCAGACGATAATACATAATTTCAAAGACTGCAAAGAAATTAAGTATTTTATTCCGTAATTCCCGTTTTCAGCATTTCATTCCAGAACATCAATAATACTTTCTTCTGAAGGCTACTAAGCTATTTAACTCTTGGCATCATCATTTGAGAATCTTTTCAATTGATTCATAGATGCAGACATAATTCATGTTTCGAATTCCACTTAAAAATTATTTGAGAAAATTAGCTCTTTCATCAGTTGGAATAAAATAGTTCAAAGCTAATTCTAAAGCCATCCTCTGCTAACATGGTTGATCAAAAGACAGATTGAATGTGAGGAAATTACGATATTTCCTAATTTATTTAGAGAAAACAAGACTGAGACATAAATTAATTACCCTTCTTTGAGCTGAAAGTTTAGCTTTCTTGTTTTTCGAAAAGCAGGAGATAACACAGAATCGGGTAAAAGAAATAAATAGTTTTCATTGCCCGAATGAGATCTTTGAGGTTTTAAAATACCCTAAGCGGAAAATAAACGCGGAATTTTAATTGTTTCGCTATGAGTGAATGCAGAGTGGATTACGGTTTCAGTTAACGAAGCACGGTTTCCAATTTTATTTATTTTAAAAGTTTGGCCAAAGTTATCGTTTGCGCAGAGTGATTGGGTGGTTGTGTATGTACACAAGAGATTGCTTAATGAAGCGAATCTTTTTGTCTGAGAACAGCGAGAATTTTCCATGGATTCGCAAAAGAATTTATGTTCAGATCACTTGCACTTTGAAAATCAATGTTGAAAAAATATTTTTATTTTAACTGTAAGTTCTAATTTATACTTAAGTCATTAATGTTTGATGCATTTCTGTAAGAAGAATTACCATATTGACTGATACTATCTATAGAAAACTAATTGTTGAGCGAGAAATCTAATTCAAACTGTAATAAAAATTCATATTTCATAGCAGTTCAGTATAAATTCTTAATTGTTTAGTGGATGTAGTTTCATTGTAGAATTTAAGTATAATTTTTGGCCGTGGGAGATATCTCTGAATTTTGTTAGGAAGTAGAGATATTTATCACTGAAAAATAAAAAAATTTATTTAAGAAAAATTGAGTAATTATTTTGGGAATATGGCCATACTTAGAAATAATGAAAAAAAGAAAGGAAGTCCTTCAAAGGAATCAAGAGAATCATTCTCTTATCATCAAGAATTTCTGTAAATATGAAACTTCTACGGTTGAGGCTTAGAGGCAAAAGCATCCCAGTGCAATCGCCAATAATTCCGAACTAAAGATAAGAAGAATTATTCCCAACGGACAGTTAGGAACATGGGAAGAGATCCATGGTTGGCGATTGATTGAAAGATAACATAGCCAAAAATGAAGTCAACCCCCTGAATTATTATTAAAATTCAAAATAATTTGGAGAAAATTAATCGCCAAAAAGATTGTTGGAATAAGCATAACCAAGTAACTGAAGCATTTTTGTAGTAAGAAATAAAGAATAGTGAGTTATAAATAGATTTTGCTTTCGATTCAGTCGCCACGACAGTGAATTAATGAGTTTTATGAACCGTTACACTGATTGTTAAGAAAAGAATAAAATATTTATATTATCTTTTTATAAAATGGAATAAAAATTAAATAGTTGGTTTAATTTAATTAAAATTAGATCAGGAGAGATTAAAAAGTAATTTTATTAAATTGAAGAAATTTTAGAAGCTAGGGAATGTAATGCCAATTAAGGCGCTACAACATAAATAACAAAAAAAAATTTAACAGACAGATTGCATTTTGATACAATAAAAGTACGCAGAAGGGAGAGGAATAGTAAAGCACCAATCAAAATACAGTAAAAAGTTAATAACGGAAAACTTGTCCAATGAGGAGAGGAGGATAACCAAGCAAGTTCAGTCAAGGAGCAGAGAGAGTTATAAAATTCTACGTTATATAAGCTCTAACACGAAGAAATATAGCTAATGAAAAAAGAAAAAAAGATACAAACCTGATCCAAGAGTATCAAATATTTCTCTTCTTTGCACCACAAAAAAATCAATAAAACGTGATAAGTTCATTATATTATGGATTAATCGATTCTGTAAATAGTGAATTTTTGGAATATTTTTCTTATTTTCGTTTTCAAACAGAATTTTTTAAAAACTAAATAGTACTTATAGAGGCATGCTTAATCAATTGCTTATTAGTTCCGAAAAATTTGATTATTAGTTTTAGAATAATTCTTAGAAAAATGCTGGATGAGTGTTTTTCTATACTTTAAAGTTTTTGTCAACAGTTTTAAAATAAGATTTGGATTAGAGCAAAAAAGAATTTCATTAACAGTTTTCGAAATCATTTTTCGATTATCTAATGCAAATTTAAGAGTTTCGACTAAAATTTATCATGAATATATATTTATATATATATAAATAAAATTGTTCACAAATTTTATTTTATAAATGATTATTTTCGCATTGTCAAATCTGAATTTTTAATGTTTGAATAAAAACATATTATGAATATGTTTAAAAATAAAGTTTATTGTTGAAAGGATTTTATAATAGACGCAGTTGAATTTATAATTTCTTTTATGAAACAGTATTGTATAAAACTATTCTTAAAGAAATAAATACTTTTATATCCATGCAATGAAGAGTGCGAGAAAGAAAGTAATTTTTAACGTACTTTAACAGAAGTTGTGATAGTTGTCCATACATTTTTGATTATACTCTTTTTTTTATGAATGCATATTTTCTATTTGTTGTTTTCATTTGTAAAATTCATTAAATAATTAAGAAAATATTTTTACAATTACCTTTTTATAATAAGAAAAAAAGTAAATTTTAACAGAAATAGTGAAATTTACCAACACTTTAACCACATAAGGAAAACAGGTGTCTCTTTTATGTATGTATTTCTGACGCTATAATTAGAAGTAAAATTGTTTTAGAACTTTTTAATTAAAAAAAAAAAACAGTCCAATAATTATTAAAAAATCTGTTAGATTCTCGGGATCATATTTATTCTGAAATACAACCCCCCCCCCCGCCAAAAAAAAAGAAGTTTATAATTTCTTTCGTTCTTATTCAAAAATTTATCAATTATTGGTTTTGTAAATTAAAGATATTCAAATGACGAATTACTGCTTCTCTTAGTTCTAAATAACTGCAAATAAGAGAAAATTAATGTTTGGAAATGTGCCATGCTTAGAAAAAATTACCTTTAATGCAAAAATGGAGAACTGTATATATATATATATACACTGGTTATCATAAATTAAGGAAAAATCACAAAAATAGCGATAGCTCTTTCAAAAGTAAGCCAAACCGTGCAAAATTTGCATATGTTGTCCACTAAGAGTAGCTGAGTAAAATTGCAATATGCAAATTAGTGGCGCTGCACTNATATTTATTTATTTATATTGCTATATATTATATGGCTAAATATATAGTATTGCTAATATAGGTTATATTTCTAAATATAATATTTTTCACCTATTTCGACCCAAATTAATACATAACAATGAAAAATGTATGAAAAATATGTTTAATGAAAATTTAGCGTCAAAAAGTTAGCAGTTAGAAAAGTTAACTTTATTTTATGAATGGGCCTTACATTATCAAATATAAATTTTTAGTTTCTGATTAAAAATATATGTACAAAAATAAGATTTATTGTTAGAATGATTTTGTAATCAACGAAAATCTACCATCGATTTTCTTACTTCTAAATTTAACACTTAGCATTTCTGTTATAAACTATGATTTAAATAATCTTTTTGCTGTGATACTTATAAAAGTATCAACAAAATAGAAACTCTTAAAATTTTTCAAGAAAAATATCTCCTATTTTTGACATATTTTAACAGAAATTGTAAATTTTGTTTACACTTTAACACAACAAAGGAAAGTCAACCTTAATATTTTCTCCTGAAATAGTGCTAATGCGTTGAGCGACTATTCTCTCATAAAACTTCTTTCTTTGCGTCAATCACTTTGTTTTGTTGGAGAAAAACTCCAGAGAATGCCGAAAGATGACGTTGGTGGCGCTGCGATCGGAAGCCCAAGATAAGCGCCAACTCTGCATCGGCAGTTGATGTTTTTGAAGCAGCGTGGTCAGTGATCTACTGTTTTATTCTCTTTTGCAACTGTAAAGCTGTGTTCGTCGCTGCAAACTGTTTTGTCATCCTCTTAGCGATAGCGGTTTTTTATCCGGATTTTGTTTGTAGGTTTTGTCAAGATTCGTTTTTAGGTCTTGTAAAATAGTGAAGAAATTGTGTTGTATCTTCCTCAGTGAAAAGTTTTGGCTTTTTTTAAATAAAGATCAAAGATGGGTAAAGGTAAGGTGAAATTTTTTTTAATTAAACAGCTTTTTTTTCCATATTTTAAGATAATATTTTTTAATGCAATAGAGATAATTTTCTTGAATATATATAAAAGTCGACTTATATGATTGTGCAAAATTAAAACTATAGAACAATGTATTTTTTTGGAAAATATTTATTTAAAAATTAAAAGAAAAAAATTAATTCAGGTAAAATGAATTTTTTTAAGCACAGCTTTTCTTGTTGAAATCTTCTTATTATATAAAAAATGTAACGGCAATAAAAGTTTCTTATAATGAATTCAAATTCACATCTGAATTTGTGTTTTGTAAAAACTTCTCAAGGAATCATATAGAAATGTAAATAAAAAAAAGAACAAATCGGTGTAATATTTTAAAGCAAATGTAAAGTGCGAAAAGTAACGTTTCTTTAAGAAGGTAATTAAAGGAAAATAATAATTTAAAATTATGTTAAATAATGTAAAATGCATGCTTTTTTTAAAAAAAATAGTTACACATATCACTTAAATAATGATGCTGAAATTACATCAATGAAAACAATATTAAAGTAAAAAAGGCTTTTCTCAAAAAAAAAAAAAAAAAAATCGGGTTTCAAATGCAAAACGACAGAAGAAAAATTTAGACAGAAAAAAAAAACGCTTGATAGGGTTAAATTGATTAAAGAATGCATAAAAAAATTTACGAAATCCATGTGGTTAAAAAGGTAATTCTTCGCCTTTACATTTAATTCAAACAATTCATTGACTTAACTGGCTTTTATGATTAAAGAAATTAATTCTATTTTTAAAATAAAATTATAAACAGAAAAACGAATTTCTTAGTTTGTAAAGCCTTCAAATTGCCTCGACAAAAACATTAATTAAGTTTTAACGTTTGAGAAAAAGCGAGAGTTTTAATAGTTAATTAAGATTGCTATGCAAAAAAAGACAGTTTCTTACACCGGTATTTGTGTTACTTTATTTGAGGTTTAACTATCATTGAAATGGTAATATTAAAGAATAGTTAAGAAATAATTTTAATGAACGAAGTTTTATTAAATTATAGCGAAGTAAAGGTTTTATAAATGAGAGGAAAGTCATTATTATAGTTAAACTTATAGTAATTTCTGATTCTTGAACCATTTTGCAGTCTTTTTGGTTTAGACTTCCATTTATCCTTTCTACAGAGCCCACATTAAGAAGGAAATTTTTTTTTTAATATTTACTTATTTAAACTTTTTTTGAATTGTGCAGTATAAATTATTTTTAATGCTGTTTAAATAGTATTTTATTTTATGTTCGGAAGAGATTTTGTAAAATAAATAAATAAATAAATAAAACTTTTCTGAATTATTATTTATTTTTCTGATTAGAGACAACAAAAACTTGTCTTAATTTTTAGGATTAATTAGATTATCGATTAATCTTTTAATCAAACTTATTGAAACTATCGATATTTTTTGTGAAGGTATAGGTTAAGGGGATGTAGTTTAGAAATTTATATTATGTTTATAACTGCCGTTAAACAGTATTGTCAAGTCAGATTTGCACTTTTTAAAATTTAATTATTAAGCCTGAAAAATGTTGAACTCAACCCAGAAGACAAGGATACTGTCTGGATCAAAGTGGAAGGCCAATTGCGCTTTTGCATTAGAGGTTCTAAGAGACCTCAAACTACATTTGTGTTACACGCGAAGAAATACGCGAAAATCTTCCATGCACTGTAAAAAAACAGTTTCTGAAAATTAGTAACAACAGCAAATAATAGTCGAATTTAAAAAAAACCATGTATTCAAAATTGAAAGTGCATCTACTCATTTTTGGACAAAATGTATAAATTAAAAGTGATGTGGAGGAAAAATATGTGAAAGAGATTTTCGTTGGCTGTCGGCAGGATTCAAACTAAGGACCTCTGGATTCGTAGTAGAATAATCTCATAACCACAGTTGTACACTACGCAAAATAAAAAAAACTGACTACCCTGAATAACTTTTGATCTTAATGATCGGATTTTCACTTTCTAGGACTCATTCTTAATAGTTTCAGGGAGTAATCTCAAATATTAGTGCATTTAAGTTACGAAATCGGACACAAAAACTTATTTTCTCTGAATAAATATGCATTTTTTTCAACGGATTTGGATTTTTGAACCCCGAAATATAGAGGATAGCCGCAATCTGGGAAATATATTCCCAATAGTTTAGTCAGGAGAGCAGTCCAAAATTAAGACTCCTTAATGGTATTTTTTGCGTATTTCTCTATATCTCGAGAACGTCTAAAGAGAATTGAAATTTTTTTCACACAATTGTAAAAATAATTTGTTCAAAGATGATTCTATACAAAAAATAGATTTTAATAAACATTTACTATATTTTTAATTATTTTATTTATCGAGAAAATTTTGAATTGTAAGGTGCCTAATTTTTTACAGCGTTTTAAATAACATAATTTCCCAAGGCAAAATACAAAATTTTAGAAAAATCGCTCAAATAGTTCCTAGAAAATCGAATTTTAAAAAAAATCGTCTCTTAAAAAGTTGATTTGCTCAGGAACTATTTGACCAATTTTTTTGATGAATTTGAATTTCTAACCCCCATAACATAGAGGATAGCCGCAATCTAGAAAATATGATCCGAATAGTTTGGTCAGGAGGGCGATCGAAGGTTTGGGCACCTTCATGTTAATTTAATTTTTTTCGTATTTTCTCATATCTCAAGAACTTTTTAAGCAAATTAAAGGGAATTAAGCAGTTTTTTCACACGATAAAAAAATTCGTTTATCCGAAGGTAGTCCAATTCAAAAGCATGTTTTCTGTAAATATTTATTATTTTTTATTATGCATGTTTTTTTACTTTATTATATTTTATTATTTTATTTAATAATGGCCAAACATTTCTGAAATGTATGGTATACAATTTTTTGCATCATTTTAAAAAATGTAATTTTGCACGGCAATATACAAAACTTGAGCAAAATTGGACAAATAGTTTTAAAGAATTTGAACTTTAAAAAACTGATTTTTAAAATTTGATTTTTCAGGGCTTGTTTGAAAGATTTCGCTCATATTTTGTACTATGCCATGTAAAATTATATTCTTTGAAATCATGTAAAAAATTATATACCGTATAATTCAAACTTTTTCCACTATCAAATAGAATATAATGAATATTTACTCAAGTTTGCATGGAATTTTCTTTGAATAATGAATTTATAACCCATGTGCAAAACTCTTTCACGCTTAAAAAGTTCTGGAGATATGGCAAAATACGCAAAATATGAAATCTACATTAAGAGGTCTAAATTTAGGATCGTTTTCCTGACCTAAATACAGAGAGTGTATTTACCAGATTGCTGTTACTCCCTAGTTTTTGGAAGTCAGAAATGTGAATCCCACGAAAAATGGTTTGCTTAATCAAAGAAAGTAGGTTTTTGTGTTTGATTTCGTAACTTTTTTCGTAATTTTTTGTAATTCGTCTGCACTGACTAATTATCATATTTGGGGTCACTTCCTTGAACCATTAAGATTAAGTCCTAGAACGTGAAGATCCGATCGAAAGTTATTCAGGGTGGTGCGCTTTATTCCACACTGTACACTCCATTCTAGGAAGAGTTATGACGCTTTATATAGTGACCGCCCAATGACCCATCATGAAATGCTAATTTCCAATTTCAATGGTACAAAGGGTTGAAACTTGGATAATATGATCCCAATAGCTTAGTCAGGAGATCAGCAATTTCAATTTTACTTGTTGCTTATTTAGTTATATCCTAAGAACATTTAGGAGAATGGAATGAATTTCTTGATGTGCGTAACATTTTTGCATACACCGAAGAGCCATTACATTATGACCACCCTGCTAATAACATGTAGGACCACCTTTAGCTCTCAAAACTGATAGCTTCCGCGGTGGCATTGATTTCACAAGGTGCTGATAGGTAGACTGAGGTATCTGGTACCAAGCGCTCACCAACTGGTCCACGCTTCCCCCTCACATTGTGAGGGGGAAGCGTGGCAGCACGATTTTGGTTTTCCAAGTAGGACCACAAATGCTCTATTGGATTAAGGTCAGATGAATTTTGGGGCCAAGACATGACTTGGAAGTCACTGGAATGTTCCTCGATGTTTCGACCCTTATGACATGGTGCATTATCCTGTTAGAAAACACCATCCCCCGCAGGAAAAACTGTTGCCATGAATGGGTGAACCTGGTCTGCAACTATGTTCAAGTAGCTTACAGACGTCAGGAATTATTCTATGAGAATTATGGGTCCTAATGTGCTCCATGAAAACATTGTTCCTCGGCGAGAAACCAAAAAAACCTGGGCGAGCCCATTGTTATAGATGAAGGGTGGTCATAATGTAATGGCTCTTCGGTGTATACTGTTATTATTCAATTGCTTCAGATTTGACGAGTATAATTTTTATTGACCTTAGAAACTTATAATGTAAAATTTTACGTTATATACTATATGAGTCAAACGAAAACCAACTTTATGTCTAATATATTTAGCTGAAAATAAACATGTTGTGCCATTTATTGCTTTCGGAGTGTGTTACATTATAATGTAAAAAATGTTACTGTTTTATGCTTTGGCAGTGAGGAAACTGTTAAAGTTTCAAAATTTTTTTTTTACTGCGACCTACTACTAATGAGTTTTTTACATTAAAAAAATGCATTTAAAAGCAACGTGATAACGCCGTAGACGCTTAATTAACAATTTTAAATAATTATAAGTTTTTTATATGCAAGTCTTAGAAATTACTTTTTCGAAATATTTTTATTAAAAAAATATTTTTATGACATCTTATTGTTGCAAACCAGTGACTTTGTTTAATCATCGATAAAAACTTATTACCCGAATGTTAAATTATTCTTGTCCTTCGCGAGAAGTTATTTATTTTTCAACAGGAAATTAATTTCCTAGCGTCATTATTATTTAACTATTTCAGATTTTAATTATTTTTTCTATTATGAACTGATTAAAAGTTTTATATTGTTTCCGTCATATCAGAATG